GGAAGGAAGGAAGGAAGGAAGGAAGGAAGGAAGATTGCAAGTAGCTTATTCACTGGAAATATCTGAACAGACCACAAGGTCAGTTGCTATAAGAATACAAAGGTCATATCCTTGATCCAGGAACAACCCAGGATTACTAGAACAAAGACACCACACACCACTGTCCTGCCAATTTATCATTTTCAATGTATTTTGAAGCACCCTTTTATCTTGGCGTTTTCATTTGAGTTCTATTCTGTTCTATTCCAATACTTCATTACTTGTTCATTGCTGATTTTAGCTTGTTAGCAGCCCAGAATCGTGCCCTGCAGCCCTGCACTAAGGGGAAGGGATGATATATAAATGAAGTAAGCAAGCAAAGCCAGCCATGTGCAAATACTGTGCTGTCCTTTTAACAATACTTCCGTTCTCTTTCACCACGCTGCGTGTCTGTTCCTTCCCAGCCCTCAGGTATTTTGATACTCACCCGGATGCTCCAGCGTTCAACACCCGTGTGGCTGTGGACCTGGAAAGGAACACATTTATCCAGTGGAAGAAACACGGGCACCCCATCGTGACCCTCGCCTTCTATTCAGTCAAAGACTTAGATTACATCGCTCGGGAGATTGACCGAGTGGCAGGGGACAGCGACACGGCCGTCATCCTTGCCCTGGGCCAGCATTTCCGTCCGTTCCCCATCGATATTTTTGTTCGAAGGGCGGTTAACATCCGCAATGCTGTTGAGCGCCTTCTTCTGAGAAGCCCAGACACCAAAGTCATTGTCAAAGCAGAGAACATTCGAGAAATGAGAGGAGATATGGAACGGTTCGGTGATTTCCATGGCTATATGCAGAAGCTGGCCATGCAACGCATTTTTCGAAGTCTCAAGGTAGGCATGATCGATGCCTGGGACATGACGGTTGCCTACAACACTGACAATGTCCACCCCCCTGAGGATGTGGTTTGGAACCAAATTGTGATGTTCTTAACATACTTCTGTTAGTCGGGATGACCTTGACCTCTGACACCATCCAAGAAAACCATGTTGTCTATCTGTTGTAAAGAGCATCCATGATGCACATAGAAATGGTGGAAGTAATTACTGGGCAGAGCTGAGAAAAGTTACATTTCGGACAACAACTCTGTTTCTTTCCTCTCTTTTTTTACAGCATTTGCTTTGGGTTGTGCAATAGACTCAAATCAGCCCCCAAAGAAAAGGTGGACTAGAATATTCTGAATAAATACCTATTGTGTGTGCCCGTTTTTACTGACAAAAAAGGAATTTCTCCAAACTCCCTTTCAACCTGCCACTGCCTTTGACTCTAATGGCTGCTTTCTGGACATGAACATGTGTTGAGGCTGTAACCTGGCAGGGTAGATTCCCTCTGGGGGAGGGGGAACTAACCATATCCGTTGAGTAAATAAACCCACAGTAAGGTGTTCCTGGGCGTTGACAGCTATGCACGTCCTTCCTGGCTGTGGTAGATAATCAAAGACTTTGGTTCACAGTCTCAGTAGTGCTGGGGGGTGGGGAGATGATGAATGTAAAAGAGCGTGGAATCCAGAAGACGAAGAGGAAAGAAGCATTAAGGGGGGAAAAAACTGAATGCAATAAAAACCGACATTTTGTCTCCAGTGTGATTGTCGGCGTCCCAAAGCAGTGTCGGGCCCATCATGGGGAGCTGGTTTGGGTCAAGGGAAAGGAGTCCCTTGTGATTGTGTCAGCCCTGTAAAATATTTTGCTGCGGCGTGCATGTCGCTCGGGACCTTGCGCCGCAAATCCAACTGGCTCAGAGCCAAGGCCTTGAAGGGGTGAACGACCCTTTTATTATTTACTCAAACTTTAGCATTGGGACAGAAAGTTTTCAGCCACCCTGCCAGCTGGGATTCTGGGAAACGTAGTCCAATAAGAAATTTTCTCATTCCTGGGCAAAACTTTTTGCTGTCCTCTGAAGATGCCGGCCACAGAGACTGGCGAAATGTTAGGAAGAACCACTTTCAGAACACGGCCAAGAAGCCCGAAAAACCCACAACAACCATTAGATCCCGGCCATGAAAGCCTTTGCGAATACACAAAAAAGGGGTTCAAAGATGCTTGGGATTGGAAAGTAACGTGCAATATCTTTGTAGAGATGGGCTCTTATTTGAGTCCAAAAGGCTGAACGCAGTATTATCCCATTTAGAGAACAACATTTGTTCCATGTTTTGCTAACTAATAGAAACATACGCACCCGCAGAAACGTCCACAGCCCTCCTCTTCTGCAGATGACAATAATGAGAACCAGCACTATTCTCAATGGCACATTTGAAAGGGGGGGCACAGACTGAAAAATGCAAGGAGAGGACTTTCGGTTCATCTGTTCCCGTTGTGTCCTTGTTTGATGGGTGGGTGGGGGTGGAAACGGAGAAGAGCTCCTGAAAGGGAGGGCCGTGTGGCCCAAAAAGAAAAGTGCGAATGGCTGCCTTAGAGTCAGGGGGTGTCTGCAAAAGTGTGGTGTAGGGGAGGGAAGGGGTGGAACTGGAAATCGTCATGGACCAGAATATAATTGGGATGAGTTGGGGGGCGGCTGTTCTTCACCACTCTTCCTTCTGTACTCTCTAAGAAACACAAGTCAAAGATATGTAATATAGAGACCTGGCATCATGGTTTTGTTACGTGCTCAGATCTCTTCCTTCCTTCCTTCCTTCCTTCCTTCCTTCCTTCCTTCCTTTCCGACAGGCGTAGAATAGCACTGTAAGAATTGATCATCAAAGTTTGTGAAAAGTTTGTAGAAAGAGTCCGACCAATTCATCCAGCTCTGCTAGTAACAAGCTGACCAGTTTGATTTAACCCAGCTGCGGAACCAAAAAAGCCTGGAGGAGCTAATCTCTGATCAGTCATCATCATCATAGGCATTCTTCAGTCTCATCTGATCGGTCATCATCATCATAGGCATCCTTCAGTCTCGAGAAACTATGGTAACACACTATGTATTGGGAACTGTCCTCTCCTGAGCATGAAGCCTGGGTAAAGTAGTATGGAGGATAGGCTGTTCCCCAAGCAGCAGATCCCCCCTCTCCACATTGCTGAAATGGTCCAATGGAAAGGCAAGAGCCAATACAACTGGTTCCAGCAATGTCGCTGGAGTTGGCAGAACGACATGAACTGCCTCCGGGACTCCAGCTCCGGATTTTGCCTCTAGGTTGACTCCTGAAGCCTTTTCCATCAGTGGATATAGCCACAAGGCAGTGGAGGTTTGAAATCAGTTTTCCTTATCCTAGATGGGCTGCCTTCCAAGGCTGATGAGCCCCACCTACCCAGCCTGCTCTTTAATAGTGCAGGGACAATAAAGTTAACAGCCTCTGAGCACTGTTTGTTTGGGTCGAAGGAGGAGAGACAGAAGGAGCTACTCTGAAGGACTCATTTACGATGCTGGATATTGCTATGGACTTTGGATATGGGCTATGGTAACGTTTGATATTAAAGGCTTTATTGTGTATGACCAATGGACGGAATTAAAGACAACTCTGTGTGGATGAGTACTGCTCCAATACAATTTGTTTTTCTCTTACCTTCATGGACTCTCATTTCATGGCTTGTCTGCATACTGGTACCTGAATTGGATAAAACATCTGCTGGGGCAAAGGAAAGGGGCTGCCTTATCCGTCAAGACCCTGACACTCTCCTTTCCTTTGGTTGGGAGATTCTGGGGTTGTAATAAAAACAAAACACAACGCTATAATATCTCCAAGTTCTGGGTGCAATCCCTCATTTCCTGTACACATGGATCGAAAACTTCAAAAGAGTTTTTTCAGGCTGCTAAACAGGAACGGGTCCCGAAGAGTTGGGCACGACCAAACGACTAAAGAACAACAACAAAAACAGGAAAAGATGAACTGCAAGTGTGTGCAAAAAATCCTTCCTCGTTGCTCAATTATCAGTAGGGCCCAGATGTGGGAGGAGTTCCTTACTTGTCAGAGATGGACGCTTGAGAAAATGCTGCTCCGTGTTTGCACAGTTCACTCCCTCAAAAAGCAAACGGCCGAGTTCAGAGAAGAGGCACCGGGGAAGTAGGAGACCCACGGACAGACCATGTTCAGATAAGGTGCGGAGAAGGCAAAAACCACAATCCCTCTGAGATCTGGCTGGCTATTTGGAGAATCAAGTGTGCACGCAAGTTGTTCGATGACACGCCGTCTGGTTCCTCCAGCACCAACAAGCTTTCGGTTGAGTTAGCCATGGGCAAGCCTGACTTGAAAGTTCAAGATTTAGAGCCAGGATATCTTTAAAGCAACCTCCTTTCATCCGTCTAAAACCTGAGACCTTTCTGGAAGAACCCATGATGTATATTTCATCATCATCACCATCACCACCTCCATGAAAAGCTGCAACGGTGAGTACCCGAGGCAAAGACGGATCGAAGGCACGATGGGTTTCTCTGAATCCTTTCCCAAGGAGAATCAAGCTGCTGTAATCGGTGCAGGGGTGCCCGGGAGAGGCTGCAACTGGGCAGCCTCTTCGTACAGAAAGTTTTAGGAAATATAAGAAGAGCCCTGTGCAGGATCAGGCCAAGGGCTCCTCCCGTCCAGCTCCCTGTGCATCTCACGGTGGCCCCGCCAGATGCCCACGAGAGCCCTGCCTCCTGATCCCCTGTCCCCTGCATCTGGTGTTTCAAGCCTGGAGATGATACATCCCCATCATGGCTTGTCACCTGCGATGGACTTTGTGTTTTCCATTTGGGAGGCACATTGGGTCAGGAAAAAAAAAATCAATATATACTGCAAATAAATAGCTCCACTGGAGGTTTTTCTAACAGCAACACAAACTTTTTTTCTCTCCCTATAAATTTGGCCCGGATATTTTGTCCTTGGCTCGAACTGACAGTTGTTATTAAAGGGGGGGGGGGAGTCCTTCCTGCGTCAGGGCGAGCAGCAACTGAAAACTCCTGGCTGATCCCATTCTCTTCTTTTAAATGCAACTATTTCACTGTGTTTATCGGGAACCCTAGAGAGACAGGAAGTGAAAAGAACGCATGAAAACAGAGGAATTCGTCACAGGTCAAATGTTTCACAGGTAAAATTATGCTTCCTGTTGATGGCTGGTTTGGTTTTCTGATGTGTGGTTTGGAAAACGTGTCCTGGGTCCCCCAGGCTATCGGGAGACCACAGTAGATGTGGGTGCCATGACTGAGGCGTAGGTTTGCCGGCTCAAATCACATCATAGCCGCAAAAAGTTTTTTAAAAAAAAAGTGTCCAGATTCCACAGGACTCTTCTTTAGTTTATTTGGAAACACACCCCTTCTTTATATCCCTTTGCATTCACGGGGTTGCTTCAGGAACAAAAGTTGGTGCCCTTAAAATAGGCTTTGAATAGGCAGTTAAATATGCTATTAGGCAATCACATTTATGCTATTATTATCATCTGGTTTCTAAGCCTCTTTGCAATCTACGTATGTTTGTAACTACACACGCACCCTGCAAACTGGGTTTCAGAAGGCTTGCGTGCCCACCCCAGGCTGGGCCCGGGATCCCTCCCGGATTCCCGGGCCCTTTTCTTTTGCAACAAATGCACACGGCTCCAGTCTATGTTAGCTTATTTAAAATATTTGTGCCCTGTCTTTCTCCTTTAAAAAGGACTCAAGGCAACATACGTCATTTAAAGACAATGTTTAAAGCTAAAAATAGTAAGTTTGCAAATATTTAAAAGGGGACAAAGAAATACCACTCTGAGAAATGGTAAAGAAAAGCAATACTAGAAACACGGTCTGAGGCGTAATGCATAACAATCCATTTTTAAAAACCCACTCAGACTGCCAGTCACTGAGAGAAAGCTTGCCTGAAGAGAAAGTGTTTTGCCTGCTAGAGCAAGAACAGCCAAGATAGGGCCAGCCTAGCTTCCAGTGGGAGGGAGTTCCAAAGTCTCAGGGCAGCCATAGAGAAGGCCCTCTCCCGTGTCCCCGCCAAATGCACCCGTGCAGGTGGTGGGACTAGGATTGAAAGGCCTCCCCTGATGATCTTGACTCTCAAGCAAGCTGATAATCAGAGGAAGGTTGAATGAAGCAGGACCGCTTCCTGCCACAATATTTATTTTATGTTGTGCACCCCAATGATCTGAACAACAGGCCAGCTCAAAGCACCACAAATTGTGGCATCAAACAGCAACAAAGCCTATCTTTGTATTAAAAGAATGAGTTAACACACCATTTTTAAAAAACACTATAAAACAGATTTAAGTGCACCTAAAAGGCTAAGGCACCACCTCTAAAATTCAGCCTTTTCACCACCCACTGAGTTAGGAAAAAAACTGTTGAAAAGTGTGGCTGGGGGGGGGGCAAAGGGAGGCTGGGGAGAGGCAGGAGTTGGAGAAGGCAGGTGTGCAAAGTGGGGTTAGGGTTGGGGAGGGATCCTTAATACGCCTGCTGCCTGCGTGGGTGCAAGGTGGCCCGAGGAGGGTGCCTGGCGGCCCGAGGTCTGGTCAATGGCCGGTCATGGACGCGATCCACCTCTGATGAGATTGTGAAGCTGGAGGGGGGGGGAAGAAAGCCTGTGGGTTTCAAGGGCGGCTTTTTCGGAGGCTCTTGCAAAGAATTTGCAAAGAAAGGACCATCTGGCTTGGCTCCGGAGGATCCTGTTGGTGGTCGGCTGCGATTCACTTGCACCTCAAGCGGTTTGCTTCCGGAGTAGGGCTTCCTCTCCAGGGACTACAGACACCCTTGGAAAAAGTAGCTTCCTGAGGCCTCAGAGGCAGGAAGGGGTGGGAGAGAATCAGTTATAGCTCTATTTAAGCCCTCCGTGCAAAAATGCTGGATTCAATGGCTTAGGAAAAGGCCTAAAATCCTCAAATCTCCAATGATCATCCCCGGGGGGGTCCAGATTTATTCCATGGATAGAGGGTGAGATTTCCTCCTGCTTTCTTATTGATGCAATACGATGTAAGCTGCTTCCTTGTTTGGTTTTTTAAAAAGATAATATTTTAAATGTAAATAAATAAATGAATATTACTGTATCCCCAACCGAAAAGGGGCAGTCTTTAATCAAAGGTTAAATGGATAACCTCCAGAAAACGCCTTTTCACCTGAGCCTAGGGTTGCCAGATGTCAGGCAAAAGGAGGACATGTCCTCCTTTTTAGCCTAATGTCCTCCGTCAGGCAGGCAAAGATAAAAACCTTTAAAATGTCAGGCTTTTGTATATTTTATGTTATAATTTTGGATGGGAGGGGGAGAGGTGGAAGGACCCCCTTCCCCCTGGCTTTCCCTGCCCCCACCTGCCTGCCCACCGCTGGTATTTTGAAAAACAGCCTCCATTGAATTTATTTTTAATTTTTAACATGACTGTTTCTTGGTCGGTTCACTAAGACACATTTATTGGCAGCTATTGTAATAAAATTGTATTGATTGTGGGTTTCATCTGGAATGATTCAAATGAAACATTCAATATGTCCTCCTTTGTCCTCCTTTTTGTCTTTCTATGTCCTCCTTTTAGTACCCATGTATCTGGCAACCCTACCTGAGCCCCCAAAATTCTACCCTGCATACGTCTAAAGATACTGGGCACCACTCGCATTCGTGCAAAAGTTATTTATGTCCCAAAAGCGGATAAGCAAAGAACTGATTTCCCAACTTCCTTCATATATTCTCCATGGACAAGAAACATAATACTCCCGTCTCTCTAAGGTCTCCCTAGGGAATGACATTTCTTTCCTGTCTGAGCTACTTTTCCATTTGGTTTGGGGGGGGGGAATCAAGGGACACGAACTGATAGGTTGAAAGCCTCATAGATGCCTTTGGCAGCTGGGTTTGTAGGAAGAAGCAAGAAATCTCATCTGTACCTCTAGCTGAGTTGGGACGTCAGAATGGTAGTTCCAAGCTGGTTGGGTTAAGAGACCAAAGAAACCCCCTTAAGAGGGGTGGAATAGCTGGAGAAGAATCCAACTTGCCTAGAGCTTCTTATGTCCCCATTACAGGAGGGGAAAAACAGTTCCCATCCGTTCAGAGCAAGGACTAAACAGTCCGGCTGGTCACTCTTTCCCCTATGGAGTTACAGGAACAATTCTTCATAAAAGCATTTGCATTAATAAAAGGAGTGGTTAACAACTCCCTAGTAGCAAATTCAAGGTCCACACACCTGAAGCCACAACTCAAGGTGTAAAAAGAAGCTTGCCTTCAAAAGAAAAACGTTGCATTTTTAAAATCTAACTTCTTTTTAACATAGCTTTCCAAAGTGCAGAGTTTGGATTAGCAAGGGAGGAACACTGAGACACATGAGAGCTAGACTCAAAGATTATCTATGTGATTTGAGAGTGAGCTTGTATTGTGGGGTTTGCCTTGCGCTCTTAATTTCTGATCAGCCTGAAATCGGAAGTGGAGACAGGAAAGTTCTCTATAATTTCCACAGAAATGCCCGCACAGTGTTTAACATGTGGGAAGATGTCGAAGATATCCCGTCTCATTCCGATTATCCTGATGGTCTTCGCTGGCTACTTCTACAAATCTGGGTTCAAGGTAGGACGTCTCCAGTTTTCAGTAGGAAAACCTGTTGGTAAAGATGGACCTCCAGAAAGATGAACTTCCATGGGTGAAAGGATGGAAGGCAGGATGGATGGATAAATCTCTTTCCCCTGAACTTACTGCAGCTGGTCGCAGGCTCTTCCCCAGTAGCTGTAACAAGGAGTCCTTAAAGAGGCTCAGGGAAACCCACAGCAAGAAATAAAAAATTAGAACGGACCCCAAACTGTGCTGGAAAGAATTTAGGAATAATCCCTTGTGTTTCCAATACATAATTATATAAACTGATCACTGGCATGGCTCCATCCTACAGAAAATCTAGGAATTTCCAGTTTGGTAAAATAATGGATTGCTTTGGTCAATAGCCCTAGTTCACTTCCCTGAATTACAACAGAGAAGGACAGCATCCGCAGAGGGAATCTATACTGCCAGGTTACAGCCGCTCGGTCCACTTTTATTGGCATGGCGCCAACCCCCGTAGCATTTATAGTGTGGTGAGGGGCTTAAAATTTCAGTAGGGTATGCTGGGGCTGCCTGCGGGGCATTTAAGGTGGAGGAGACACCTAACATTTTTTCCCCAAAGTGTGTTGTGTGACTCTTCCGCAGAGATTTGAGACGTTACTTGTCCAGGGGGCATGGGGATGATGGGAGCTGTAAGCCAGAAAGAGGCTTTTCCAAACTCAGGAGCAGAGTGACCTGCTTCTAAAGAGAAAGAGACTGAGGGTCCATCCAGCGTAGAAGTGGACAGAGTCTGAGGCCATACTTGACCTTTGTAATTAATTTTGATTTAGTTCATCAGCAACTCAGGAGCACTCACAAAGCAAGGAATGACAGATCAAACAGCTGCCTGTGTCGGTAAGGCCTTCTTCATTTTTTAAAAAACTTAATTGTTGATTGGGAATCATGTCAAGGAATTGATCAGAGAAAATAATAAAGCAAATCATTATGAACATGATTTATTATTGCAGTTTCAAAAACTATTTTGAAGGCATTGTCTTGCTTCCTTTGTGTTTACACCTGTTCTCTACTTGACTCAGATATCTGTAATTCTCAAATTTAGTTTCAAACACTGTTTAAAAGTGTTTTTAACTTTTTTTTAATCCATTCATCCAAGATTATAGGAACGATGCAAAAGAAATAGAAGAGATTGTTACAAAACTGGACCAGCTGATCCCCAATGTTACTTTCAGGGATATAAAGACCGTCACAAGTGCCAAGAACAGCCAAGCCACCATCGTAAACCGCCAGGACGTTTACTGCGTGGGAGACCACTTGGCGGTTCGATTGGATCTCTACGACCACATGGGGAAGAGGAAGGAGCATGGCGGAGATTTCCTACGAGCGAGGATCTACTCGCCAAATCTCAAGGCTGGCGGCTCCGGGCTTGTCCAGGATCACGGGAACGGGACGTATCTGGTCGATTTCACTTTATTCTGGGAAGGGAACGTCAGCGTTTCCCTCTTGCTCATCCACCCCAGTGAAGCTGTTTCTGCTCTTTGGAGAGCGAGGAAGAAAGGCTACGACAAAATAGGTTCCATGAGTACATTAGGCTTCTTTTTTCTTCCTCTACCACCTGCTGTATTTTTATCATTACTATTTTCCATTACTTGGGGGAGAAGGGTTTCGGAATGATTAAATTAGACAATGACAGAAAACTTGAAAAATCCCACACTTCGAACAATGCCTTTAAATATGAGCCTTGAAAGTAACTTTAAAACATGGCTTTCCTTTCCATTGTGTTGCTGCACATCTGGAATACCCTAGGACGATTCTTGGGTCATTCAAGTGCAATGTTGTCTTTAGGGGTGAAAGGAGCTCCGAGGCTTATAGCTCGCATTTTGGACTGCTCGCAGCCCAGCCTGGTGTGGCCCTCATCCTGCCCGTCTCATGACGTACAGGGCATAGCACTCCGGCAGGAAGCCTCTTGGGTTGCTATTAAGGGCTCAAGAGCTTCCCCTTAACTAACCTGTCCTTTCTCTTGAAGGCCCAACATCGGCGTGGAGATCCCTCACAAGTTCGGAGAAATTCACGTTGTACCTTGTGAACGTGAGTTGAGCTTCCTGGTTTTCATCACAATCCTTCGCTTATTCGTGCTGAAGCAAAATTCTTGTAGACATAAGGCGAACTGGTAACCGCAGCCTCCCTTCCTTCCTTCAACTTCTTCTCTCCACTCCTTGTCTGCCTGAGAACACTGCCTAGAACAATGATGATGAAGAACTTCCTCTTCTGCTTCTCCTTTCAAATGGCTGAGTCTCCTCCTATTTATTTTTTTTACTGTACATTGCCACTTTTTTCAGCTCTTCAGGTCTTTTTTATGATCACTCAGCAAAATCCTGTTTGCTTTTACTGCTCATGTGGCATTTAATTCCCCGAGCGGTTTCTGTTCCTCTGTGGTTTGTCCAAGAAAGTAGACACTGGCTACCCCTTGCACAAAAGGAGGCTCCTTTACAGAATACGGGGTGATCACCACCTTCACAGCTACAAGCTGCGGTTCACACAAAATGCTGCACCCAGCACGTGACGTGGCACATTTCCTCCCCACGATGCTGCGCTTGGATTTTATCCTTTATTGCTCCTTTTAATTCCTGAGCAATTCTTGGCATATAATGAGGATCACCAGGTACTGCAAACAATTTGTTATTATAATCTCATTCCCCATTGGGTCTAAACCATGCAACATTTCTATAAAGTCTGAAGCCTTAGGGAAAGCAGAGTTTTCTTGAAGAAGGTTTTTTTTTAAATGGGAATTTATGTGTGTGTGGGAAGAATGCAAATATGTGCTGTAGTTATTCTCTTCTGTCACTTAAACTGATTTTACTGTTTTAGCAACATAAAACGTTTCATTCATAATTTACATAGCACATCAAAGGCTACTATTTGGCTGTTTATGAAATTGAAAAATACAAAAGTTTGATCTAGATAGAAGCAAAATTACAAAGATGTTCTACTAAAGGAAGAGTGACAAATTGGAGACTTAGAAGACGGCTATGGTTTGCTTCTGGACCTAATTTGGCCATTTGAATTTGGGCCTCCTTTCGTTTGGACTGATTTTATGTGATCCCGTCCACCTATACATGTACAGGATTCATGATCATGATCATTTTTTAAATTTATAGACTCATAGAATCATGGAGTTGGAAGGGGCCTCTAAGGTCGCCGGGTCCAATACCGCCCTTAAGGCAGGAATCCAAGTCAAATCAGTTCTTCAAGCCTAATTTTGTAAAGTGTGTTATGTATAAGCGTGCTGCAGAGTGCCTCACATTTTAACTATGCTTTTTTTTTTAAAAAAAATCACTCATTTTGAAATACAAAATATTTTGTTTGTATGATTTCTCTCCCCCCCACCCCAAGTTTCCATTTTTTTTTCTTTCGGGAGAAAATGGTTTATCTGAAAAGGACTTTTTCAGATAAAAAGTTTCTACTTCAGAATTGGCCCATAAGTTATGCAAAGGAGAACTGGATGATAAAGGCCAGAATCCTAGCACTGACAGACACTTGCATAAGGGGAACCAGATCAGTAAGTCTAAGTGGAAAATTGTTCCTCATCCAGGAGGTGCTGGAGGCTTCCCCGAAACCCATTTGCCACCAAGAGTTAAGCAATTTCCTTCTTGAGAGCCTCACTGGGCAATAGGATTCTGGCCTTACCTGTCCTGGTCGATTTTACATTTTCCAGCTTCTGTTTCTGGAGCTTTGGGACATCTGCATCTTGAAGAAGACATGTTATAGCTGTCCATCTTCTTTCTCTTCCTGGCTCGTTCCAGCCCTAAGAGTTATTGCTGGCAGCTTGTCCTTCATATCCTTCTTTTCTCCTCCCAGGTAACAAGGCAAAAGCAGCGAAGACATGCTGGGCTGGTGCACAGTCCCCCTTTCCCAGTGGCTTTGTGTGGCAGAATCAGTGGCACCCCCTCTTCTGCAACATGACCAGTTTCAACACGGAAGAGAAGATAAGGGCATGCTTGCAAGCAAAGCTGATTTATTTCATGGGAGACTCAACTGTGCGGCAATGGATAGAGAACCTAAAGAGCAGACTAAAGAGTACGTTCTTCCACGTAGAGCTACTATGGTATTATATGGTGGCCTATAACATCCTGGAGCCTGTGGTTCAAACTAGAATAGATTATAGAACCTTACAATGATGGAGTTGGAAGGGGCCTCTATGGTCATCGAGTCCAACCCCCCTGCTCAAGGCAGGGATCTAAATCAAAGCAGATCTGGAAGAGGGTGGTCCCATTTTCTCTTGAACCCCTCCAACGTTGAAGCCCCCACCATCTCCCAAAGTTGTGGGTTCCATTCTTGTACTGCTCTAACCGTTAAGATGTTTTTCCTGATATTCAGCCTAAATCTGGCTTCCTGTAACTGTTCCACTGCACCAGTTACTGAACAGGTAAGTAAACGTTGCTGTTAATCCCACTGATTCTGTGGATCTCCTCTAGTTGAAACTGGCATTCAGATTTATTCCTTTGGTGCTAAGAATCTGTAACTGGCGGGACAGCTCAGTGACAATGCCTCTTTGGCAAACCAAGGGTGCAGCTGACTTTTCAGGGGCGACTCCTGAAAACACAGCTATAGAAATCCTCCCTCGGTTGCGAGAGAGGTGACAGAACATGGCAAGGTTTTCTGAAGTGAGTGGGTGACTCCCAGAGGCCACTCTTAACAGGGTTAATCCGATAGCAATCTGGACAGTCCCTCGGTGGCCAATAACTAGCTAATAATCCTGGCTAGAGTTGATCCACGGATTCACTGGAGTTTACAGCAGTATTGACTTAGCAGTTGAGTGAATGGGTTTACCTTCTAACGGAGACTAGCAATGGGAGATGGGCCAGTGTAAATTTCCTCTCTCATTGTGGTGGTGGTGTGTATGCATCTGTATACACTTCTTTTCTCATTCCTTTGTGCTGTTATGGACTGAGCAAAAGTTGGGGCTGAATTCAGTTTGGGGAAGTTAGATCCCAGCCCTGGCAGGCGCACCAGCCTATGGGGCGCTTCCTCTTCCAGAGGCCTTCGGAGTGCAATGCTTTAAAGAATCGCAGGTTGACTTTGCTTCTGTTTTCACACTAGCGCTTGACTATCTCAATGTCCATGTAAGTGGGAAACCCCAGAAACTGATAGCAGTGGACGTGGCTGAAAACATTCAACTCCGCTGGAAGAAACACGGCCACCCGTACATCGGCTCCAGCGAGTACACCGTGAAAGATCACACCTACGTCGCTCGCGATATTGACCGGTTGTCTGGTGACCAAAACACGGTGGTGGTCATTTCCTTGGGCCAGCACTTCCGCCCTTTCCCCATCGAGTTCTTCATTCAAAGGGCGATTCGCATCCGGGAAGCCGTCCAGCGCCTTCTCCTGAGAAGCCCAGACACCAGAGTCGTCGTTAAAGGAGAGAATACCCGAGAGATGACTGTAGAGCAGGAGCTATTTAGCGACTTCCATGGCTATTCCCAATACCTCGCTCTGAAAGATGTTTTTCGGGATCTCAACGTGGGCTTTATTGACACATGGGACATGACGGTCGCCTTTGACACGAACAGCGTTCACCCTCCCAACCATGTCGTCAGGAATGAAGTCGATTTGCTTTTAAGTTATATATGTTAAGGACATGAATGCAAATCTAGTGTGGACGTTGAGCTGTTGAACCACAGGAAGGATGGTGGACTATCAGTTAAAGATCTGGGACAAATACAGGATTTGGATTTAAACCCCGGGTGCTTCTAAGAATGCCAGAGGAGTGTTGTGTAGTCTCATCAAGAGGGCTATCCCGGAATAATTCTTTCCAAAATTGGCTGTACGGTTGGCTGAGAAGCTTGAAGCCTACAAACGTCTCTCAGCAGTGACTGCTGAAGATGCCGATCCCCTCCACCCATCATTAGCTAATGGGGGTGGTGACTCACTGTTGGTGCATGGCCTCCTTGTTTGCCCATGCCTGTAGACTTGTTTCGTAAGGCACAAATCACCCCAGTTTCCTTCTTCCTTGGCTTGGGCACCAGGAACACCAGGGCTGAGGACAGATAAATGAACAACACCCAGAGTTATGTCCCCAGCCCTACCTGAAAAACACAAAACCCTTCCTTCACATGCATATTTCCTTTATTTATATTAAAGGGTTATTGCGAATATTCGGGTTTCGGAGGACATTTTGAAGAAGCTTTGCAAATTCAGGGGAAATATGGATTTTAAATCCTCCACGTCCCTGAATGGGACCTTTTAGCTACACACACACACCCATGACATTTTCTGACATGATCCACACAGGATGTACTTAATTATTTCATTTCTATTCCAACTTCTGGGCTCAAAACAGCAGGACAGAATGTTGCTCCTGCATTCTTGGAATTAAACTTGCATTGTGTGACATTTGCAGCTTGAGCTGTCGTGAATGGCCTCTAAACCATTTCCACAAATTCCAGCTCCTGGCCCACTGGTTTTCTTAGAGAAACAAGCTAAAAGTTGGGAGGGGGAAAAATCCCAAATATTGCATTTTGTTATCCTGAAAAAAATACCCCATGAGATTCTTTCGGTGAATGACATTGAGACAGAAGAGGAGTTATCTTTCTGGTTCTTGGTTCCTTGGCCTTATTTGAAGGAAGTCAATGTATCCATCTGTTTGTGGTCAGGAGATATACCGTAAGAGGTTCGTCTCCAGTAATTCTAACCAATCAATCTGAAATCTAACCTAACTCTAACATGTATTGTCGGGCCACATTTTAAATCAAGTCCAGCAATTCTTTCTTTCTATCTGTTTGTGGATTTAAAAAATAACACAAACAGGCTCATATACCTTGTACTGGACTAGTTTTTCAAAGCAAAGTGTGCTGCTTATATACTGTTTTTACAGCACTTAAATCACTCTCTGGGCAATTTAAAATTTAATTATGCAGGATATACATTGCCGCCACCCCCCACCTCCCACCCCGTGAACTGGATACTCAATTGACCAACCTTAGGAGGACAGAAGCCTGAGTCAACCTTGAGCCAACTATCTGAGCACCTCCCACCTCGTGAGCTGGATACTCAGTTGACCAACCTTGGGAGGATAGAAGGCTGAGTCAACCTTGAGCCAGCTATCTGAGCCTGCGATCGAACTCAGGTTGTGAGCAGAGTCTTCACTGCAGCACTGCAGTTTACCTGTTGTGCCACAAGGCCCCCATGAACCAACCATTCTCTCTCTTCACTTACAAACAACTAAGCAGCAGTGTGAGAACATTATAAAATATCAATCACAATGCATTTCTCGAACAGGCATCACTTAATTTTGGTTGCAACCAAGGAAAGGTGCAAAGCACGTTGAGACACTAGAAGTGCTGGAAGGCGAAAGCGAAAGTGATATGTTCTGGGATTTGACTGTCCTTAATGCATCCTTGCACTTCTTATATAGTTACAGGCTATGGTTTCTTTAGTCTCACGCCACCCTCGGACACCTGCAGCAAGTTCCTCTTTCCGTTGTCGACAGTTAATCAGGTGTTACTGGAAAGACCACACTTTTGCATGCTCGAAAGTCACAACCCAACAGATAGGACAGTTGTGTTTAATATCAAGCACAGCATATTGGCTGGTTATTGACAAAGGCATGATTGATGGGATACAGTAGGACCCCAAGTATCCATAGGATCAGTATCCGTGGTTTCACTTATCCACAGTCTGAAAATATTAAACATACTAAAAGGGGCGGACAGGACTAGAAATACCTATCGCTCCTGTCCTCCTGTGTTTGTTCTCCCACCAGGGAATGAAGGAGGCAGGGGGAAGAGTAGGGAAGAGCCTTTAATCAAAACAGGCACAAGGCATTTGAGCTACAGCTCCCATGATGCCCTTGTCTTGGTGGTTTGGGGCTACAGCTCCCATGATGCCCTTGTCTTGGCCAAGTTGAGGGATGTGGCTGGACTTGAAGAAGCACCAAGAGCTGGGGGCGGGGACAGCTCTTAGGATCCAGAGGGGAGCTGGCCAAGACGCTGACTTGAAAAAAAGGGAAGTCCTTGTGGAAGGGAAGAACCTGGCTCTTCCTCTTGCGGACAGCTTCCTCAAGCGGCTTGTGGCGGAACTAGAAGGTTGGCTTTGGAACGAAGAACAGCCTGAAGGACCGACGGGTCTGTCCCTCGCTCCCTCAGCATCCAGGCCCTGCTGCTCAGTCTCTTCAGATGAGGAAATGCACAGAGAGAAATGTGGGAGAAGGGCTGGGGGCACCTTCTCTCCACCTTCTGGCCCATGTGCATGCAGGTGAGAGGCTCAATGGGGACTATGTAGAGTCTTCCAGGGAACTTTCCAAACCATGCCAAGGGTCTAATTCTGCTGCCCTTCCTCCCTGTCTCCTACAAGGAGGTTGATACATATGGCTATGAGAGACCTCCCTCTGAGATCCTAGGGAGCTAGCACGAGTTGACCAAGGCCAGCTTCCTATGGCCATCACTGGCATCACGACCTTCTACACTTCCATCAGTATGCAAGTAGGGTGGCCACATACACATCATCAAAGGACCAAAAAAACACAACAACAACGGGGGGACACTGGTTTGCATAAAATTGCATGTACTAACTAGGTGTTCAAGCTCAAAGTTTGAAATAATGTCTATTTTCGGGGAGTTAAGTGGAGAAGGCAGGGGGCATCGGAATAGTGTACCTGCTGAAAAACCAACTGCAGAGGGTGATGGTGAAGGTCTAAGATTAAAGGTGTTGGACCTTTAAACCAGACCATCTCTAACTGTCCTTCAGGCAGAGGACTTTCTCCCCTAAGCAAGCATCCGTGGCCACCCTGCCAGTCACACACAGAGACCTACAGAGGTCTTTCCCCCCCCCCTTAAAAAAATGTTTTCCAGACTAGCTGAGAAGTTAATGCAGATAAAACCAGAAGCATAATCATGATGGCGGTTGTTGTGGGTTTTCCAGGCTGTTTGGCCATGTTTTTAAGGTTTTTCTTCCTAATGTTCCGCCCGTCTCTGAGTTCTGACTCCTGTCCTCTGAAGATGCCGGCCACAGAGACGGGCGAAACATTAGGAAGAAAAACCTTAAGAACACGGCCAAACAGCCCGGAAAACCCACAACAACCATCGGATCCCGGTCGTGAAAACCTTCAAGAATACATAGTAATAATGTTTGTTCAAAAAGAGAAAAAAAAACCCACACCTATGCATAAGCTTCTTAAAAGGTTTATAAATACTTAAAGATAGATCCACATGTAATCACCATCGATATGTCCAGCATTCCTGTGTTGAGGGTGTCTTGGGATTCCCTGTCCATTGAATTACAAGGGGAGGCGGGTGCTTAGAGAATTGTAAAACTGGATAGGGCTGGGTTTACTCGTGTGCAAATTAAAGGCATGTATCACAGACCTCCATTAATCCCATTATATTCTTGGCAATGAGAACCTAATTTTTCTGCCTGGGTCACTTCAGCACATGCCCCGAGGACTGCCGTGAATGCTCACATACCAAACCCTTGTTTCTCTCTCTCTGTGTCCCTGCCTTTCCCACGGTTCTATATTGTATATACATTCACCACGTCAACACCATAATCAGTGGTGACAGGCTGGCATAGATATATTATTCCAGCCTGCTGATCTCCCCTCATCCCCACCACTGATTTGCATTCTCCACTGGTGTCAATGTGGAGAATGCAAAAAATTAAAGAAGGAGGAAGGAAAGGTTGACAGAAGAAGATGTTTTGGGAGTCAAGCAGAGAAGAATACATAGCATGGAGCTCAGCACCATCGGGCTGTCCCCAGTGGTCTAAGGAGGGCCATTGGATGACCTTGGCCAACACCAGATAGTGGCTAGCCAGAGATACCCTTCCCAGGACTGCTGAGGGGTGGCTGTGGCTGGTGCCCAACCAGTATGGGAGAATTTTGTGGCAGTGGGCAGTACACAATAAATAATGTTGTCGTTGTGTATGATTGAGTTGCCTCTGATTCATGGCGGTCTTATACCTGAGTGGCCTTCAGAAGGTCTGCTCCTCAACAGCCCTACTCAACTCTTGCAGACTCAAGGTTGTGGCTTCCTTGATGGGCTCAGTCCTTTTCATAGCCATCCCTCCTCTTTTCCTGCTGCCTTCAACTTTTCCTACCATTATTGTCCTTTCCAGAATCTAATCTAATCTAGATCCCTATTTCTGAACAAAGACTGCTAAACGCCATAAATCAGAACAAAATCTAATCATGATTACCTGGCGGCTATCATTCTATTCTGTAAATTATTTTAGACCTCAAAAAATTAGGGGAAACCTAAAATACGTATATACTGTATATCTGGAATGATTTCTCCCTTCTAAGTATTTGTGATATATTTCATGGTTAATGTTCACCTTTGCAAATTATAAACTGAGGTTCCTTAGAAACATCACCAATGTTTAGAATACTCGTAATTCCTGAGCATGATAACGATGCTCAGTCTCTCCCAGATCTTTCTGTAAATATTTCCACATGTTTGAGGAAATCTCCGTTTGCAGGCATTCTTTCTGAACATCTCTATGGCAAGACGGGACTCTCTCTTTAGGTCTTTGGTCCTTAGCATCTCATCGCTGGAGGTGTGCAGTCTCTCTCTCTCGTATGGAGCTGTCAGTCTGGGATCGCGGCTCCCTGCTCTTGAGACCGCCCTCCTCCTCCTCCTCCTCCATGAAGCTGGCTGATCCTTTTGAAGTGATATCACAACTGCACCATAAGGGATGCCATGTTTTGGTACTCATTCCATGTTTCCCCATTCTGGGAGGTGCACCTGAAAGACACCCAATGGTGTGATGGCACAAGAGAAGTTTGATATGATGATTAAGAACAGGATTTGAGATTTCACAGGCCCCATAATCCTCCATTCTGGAACTAACAAAAAAACTGACAGCCACCTAAATGTGGCTCACCTTGAGGAAAGGCCTTAACTGGAAGCTTTTGAGGCCGAGCTAGGCCTAGTTCCGCTCAAGCTTCCTGTTTCAAGCTGGCGACTTTCTTTCTGAATAGGAATCTAGATGGAGCTCAGCCTAGCTTGTCCTCAGAGTCCTCCATCAGAGGCCTTTCCCCAAGGTGAGCCACAAAGTTCCTGTTAGTTAGAACTCCCAGAATGAGATGTCTGGGGTCCAAGAAATCCCAAGTGCCATCCCTGATCACCCTATCAAACTTATCTTGTTCCATCGCGCCAGTTTATCAGCTTCGGCCAGATTGCTAATGAAAAATGGCCAGGGATTCTGCATTATTAAGTGATAAGGAAAACAAGCTCTGGGTCAAATCAATGTAATTATACTTTATTAATTTCCATGTCTTAGAGGGAATTGGAACCCGAATGGACCCTCTATGGCTCTTGTAATGTCATGGTCATCTATTTTATTTAAATATAATTTATTTATTTATTTATTCCTTTGTTTAAAGTGTTTATAGCCTGCCCTATATCACAGGATCATAGGAGATATATATCCTTCCTTTCTAGTGCCCAAGCCAAGTAGTGCAAAGCAATTTAAAACTACAGTCTAATATAAAACTGTGATGCAGTATAAATCAGTGCATTTAGTAGCATGAGAAAATAGAGAGGCAATAAAATGGAGGGAGAAAGTTTATGGAGAAAATGAATTTAAAAAACCACAGACCTGACAGCTGGGGTAGACCTGCCATCTTGTAACATTTATCATTATTTCTTTTTTTATTTGATGCTCAAGTTTACCTGCTCTAGAGGTTGCACGATGCAAGTAGAAGCCAACCTGATTGGAACAGGTATTGGTAAGACGTCCTTCTCTTTAATGTTCATGATCACTTCAAGCATTGTATCATTTAGCATTAACTCACGGTCTGAAAAGAAAATGATAGTACTGTCTGTGAGACTCTTAAACCTTAAAAATAATAGATATTTCCGCCTACAACGATGGCAGGATCAATTTATGGCCAATGAAGGATGGATTTCTAAGCCGGATTAAGATGGAAAGGTCAAAAATGGAGCAAGAAGTAAGAAGTGCTCGTAGAAAACTGGACCAGCTGATGCTGAATGTTACTCTCAGGGATATAAAGACCGTCACAAGTGCCACAAATGTTACTCTCTTGGATATAAAGACCGTCACAAGTGCCTAGAGCAGCCAAGCCGCCATCGTAAACCGCCACGATGCTTACTCTGTGGGAGACCACTTGGTGGTTCGACTGGATCTCTACGACCACATGGGGAAGAGGAAGGAGCACGGAGGAGATTTCCTACGAGCGAGGATCTACTCGCCAAACCTCGAGGCGGGCTCCTCCGGGCTTGTCCAGGATCACGGGAATGGGACGTATCTGGTCGATTTCACTTTATTCTGGGAGGGGAACGTCAGTGTTTCCATCTTGCTCATCCACCCAGTGAAACTGTTTCTACTTTTTGGAGAGCGAGGAAGAAAGGCTACGACAAAATAGGTTCCATGAGTACATTAGGCTTCTTTTTTCTTCCTCTACCACCTGCTGTATTTTTATCATTACTATTTTCCATTACTTGGGGGAGAAGGGTTTCGGAATGATTAAATTAGACAATGACAGAAAACTTGAAAAATCCCACACTTTGAACAATGCCTTTAAATATGAGCCTTGAAAGTAACTTTAAAACATGGCTGTAACTTTGAAGCTGCTTGTTGCTTTTACTTCTGAAATAACTAATTTTGTGACACCCTGCTTATTATTACTATTTTCCATTACTTGGGGGAGAAGGGTTTCGGAATGATTAAATTAGACAATGACAGAAAACTTGAAAAATCCCACACTTCGAACAATGCCTTTAAATATGAGCCTTGAAAGTAACTTTAAAACATGGCTGTAACTTTGAAGCTGCTTGTTGCTTTTACTTCTGAAATAACTAATTTTGTGACACCCTGCTTACTCCCCAAAAGTAATTAGTTGAAAGTCATTTGGTGAATTGAAACTTCTTGTTTCCCACCAGTGGTTCCACCCACAACTGCTCTCCTGGCTGATCGGTCTAGCTATGAGTAAAAGCGTGCGGCTCTGCCCACATTCATAAGCCACATGGATGGAAACGAAAGGTCACATAGGTGCTACCCGCTCCTTTTTTGAGTCAGTTGTGTAGAAGTCTGTAGGTTTAAAAACAGCTCAGACTGTTTCTTTTCTTTTTTAAAAAAAAATTTAATAAAAAAGAGTACAAACCAAGAAAATAAAAACCTTTTATTTAAAGGGAAGGGATAAAGCTCAACACAAGCATTTGTACAATTCTGGAAAGTAAATGGGGCTCTGTAAGAAGGATACGGGTGATTATTTCCAAATGGTTTCCGTGCTGGGGAGCAGTGTGTATGTCATTTTTTAAATTAGATGTTTAAATGTTTATCTGATGCTTTATTTTCTTTCTCTTTTTTTGACATGTCTTTCTTTTTAAGTAGAGCAAATAAAATACAGCATAAACTGTTTAGAGAGCAGCATTTTATCATTGCCCCCTTCCTGCATCCTCTCTGCTCTCCTAGCTCATTGCAAAATCTGTTCTCTGTGCTGCTTTCAACACATTTTCATGAGAATCTGCATTTGTTCCTTGGTTTAACGCTGGCCCGGTGCCTTGGATCTCAACCCACGCCTAATTACGGTAATACTGACTGCCCCTTTGGCAGGGTTCATGCGGAGTGGGTTCATACTAAGGGAACAGGGATGAAAAGGCTATTTTGGCAGATGTGCGCTGGGATTCAGGACATAAAGATGTCCACTGGATGGCAGTGGTTAGTGGACCGCAAGCAGGATAGAGCTCTCTGGCTCTCAGCTCATGCTTTTGACATTAACACAGAGACAGGGGAGGGGGGTGTATGAAAGGAACCTAAAAGGGGCCCCAAAATGATCCACAGACTGGTACACCACCACACTCCGCACAGGGAAAACAAGGAACCTTGTTGTTTTAAAGCCTAACCGTTGCTTCTGGCATTGGTGTTCCTTGAAAGCAGCCCCCTTCTCCTGATGCACCACATGGAAGTCTTAAAGGCCATGTTCTGACGCTATTTTCCATGGTTTTCAGATAATCCTAGTCATACTCTTACACATTATTAGAGTCAAAAGATTTATTTATGATATCGAATAGCTATCCCATAATATATCCAAAATATATATATTTCCAACCGGTTTGTATTTGCTAAATTGTACCTGTATCAGTGTAAACAACCAATGGGATTATGGCCCCTATCGCTCTGCCTGCTGTCCCCTGCTAGTGTATACAGTGGGGTCTTGACTTAAGAACGGCTCAAGTTAAGAACATTTTGACTTAAGAACCGCTCTCATAGGAAAATATTGACTTGACTTAAGTAGATTTGAGTTAAGAACTTTAAAAAAAACCCACGTGGGAGGCAGGGAAAGTGCAAAATTTGAACTTTCAGTTAACTGTTGGCCAGTGAAAAGGGTGCCTGTCTGCTTCCTCACTCCTCCCAGCGTTTAGAGAGTGGACTGGGAGACAGTCTTCGGACTGCCTGGTACTGTACTGCTTGGACTGTATTTTCCCTGCCTTCCCTGAACCTTTCTTGACCTAAGAAAAAAAGAAACAACTCCAGTGGTCGAAGGCAGAATAGCAGCTTCCCATTAGTTTCTATGGACGGAAAAGAGCAGATACGGATCAAATGGTTTTCAATGCATTCCTATGGGAAATGCAGATTTGACCTGAGAACGTTTTGACTTGAGAACCGCCTTCCAATACGGATTAAGTTCTCAAGTCAAGACCCCACTGTAATTAAGACCAAAATGAGCAGGTGGTCCATGCCTGACTCCCACCCTTGAGCTGTTTTTTAAACCCTTTCTAGCCTCTGAGAAGAGGGTTTGTGATGTGCAAAAACAGTCATTTGTCTTGCACAAAAGTCCGGAGAATGGGGCATGGTGAAGAAGAAGAAAAAAGACCCCAGCAGAGAAGGTTTTTCACCAAAGGCAGAGAGGAATTCACTCGGGTGGAGTGAGGAGATTAACCAGAAAGAATTAGGCCCACTGGGAACATCAGAAATGTGGAAATTAAAGAAGAGTTGGGTGCAGCCCTGAAGTTTCATTTGCAATGTTTCCACTGCACCTTTGCTTCTGGCAGGTGATGATCTGGGAGGGCAGGAGAGGCTGCACTTCAAGAGCACAGCCCCTACGTTGCATGCAAACGATCCCCAGTTCCTTTGATTGCATCTTCCAGCTGTTTTGGGACAGACATCACATGGAAGAATTTCTGCCTGTTGAGGCTCGAGGAAAGTTACTTTTTAAAACTGAAATATTCCCACTGACATGGCCACTGGTCTTCATGCTGGTCAGGGGACCTTGGGAGCTATAATCCAAATAAGTAACTTCCCTAAACTCTGACAGACTTAGAAACATAGGATCATGAAGTTGGAAGGGGCCTGTAAGGCCATTTAGTCCAACCCCTGCCAGTTAGTTCTCTAAGTTTCTCTTCAATGCCTCCACAGCGTTGTAGTGCTCACCACCTCCAAAAGTCATGGGTTCCACTGTCGTACTGCTCTAACAGGAAATTTTTGCTGATATTCAACCGAAATCTGGCTTCCCCTAATTTCAGCCCATTGTTGTGTGTCCTGAAATAGGCATCCTTCAGTCTCGAGAGACTATGGTCGTGTGTTCTGCATGGAGGTCTTGGAACAGTGTCTAGTGTGGCTGAGGAGGCCAATTCGAGAGTGACCATCCCTTCCACATTGAAGACAAATACAATCTCTGTGTCCTGTACTTTGGGAAGACTGAGAACACTGCAGCTCAACAGCTTCCTGAGATCACATGAAAGTAGTTTTCTAGGCAATATTTGATGCACATCGTGCTTATGATGAGTTCATGGCAGCCCAGTCGCTACCTCCAAGTATTAGGTGACACACACCATGCTTATGATGGCTTTTGTCACTGGGCTGTCTCTCCTCATGTGGAAATAAATTATTTCCAGCCTGGGAGGAATGGAGGAATGGAGGTGGTGATGGTAGCAGAGTCAACGATATGGACCAAAATGGTGGCCAAGATCCCCTGGGTCTTTAATCCTGGTCGCTCATTCCACTGGCTTGCTTCCCATTCTGTAAAGCCCTTTAAAAAAAGATGATGGTGGTGGCTGACCCTGGCTTATGCCCTCCTGTCCTTTTATTTCCTCACATCGTCCCCTCAAGTTTCCATGGGCTTCAGGGAGCTTTTGAATGTTGCTATTGTCTAGAGCCTGGATTTCTGGCACACGAGAAGTGCCTGAGTTCACAGCGCAAATTAGAGAGGCCTTCCAAATAAGAAGTTCAAACTCTTACCCCCTGCTGAAAATGTCAGACTGTTTTCAGAAGCTTCCCCTCCGGGCATGGCTTGGCAAAGAGCTGTCCCATTCTGCGCTGCTTTGACAACCGACTAGAGATCTCACACAATGCGTTTGGATCTTACCTTCTCATTTCCTGTGAGACCGACGGGCAGAGGAAGAAGTGAAACTGAGAAGAATCGTCAAGTGAGATGAGATGGTTGGACAGGGTCATTGAAGCCACCAACATGAATTTGATCCAACTCCAGGAGGCAATGGAAGACAGGAGGGCCTGGCGTGCTCTGGTCTGTGGGGTCACAAAGATTCGAACACAACTAAACAACTAATGAATGAATGAAGAGCCCATTGGGTCATCAGGTCTCAAGACTCAACAGTGGGGTCTCCACCCAATGCTTGGAGGTAGCAGTGAAGAAAATCAGCTCCCTGCTCAAGCCGGCAAAGACTTGGCCGAGTTTTGGAGAATCTGTTCCACATGCTTGGTCTCTGTAGGTTAGCCAGTTTGTTCCTTAACAAGGAATGCCCGAGGAAGACCCTCGGTGTGAGCGGTTTTGCCCTTCCTGAGCTCAAGAAAGGGTTGATAAAGGAATGATCCGTAGAGTCCCTTCCAGCACTGCAGTTCTAAAATTATTATTGCTGTTATTATTTCTCCGCCATGTTTTTCATCATTGTGTGCAAGGAGAAGGAGGTGTGATCCAATTAAGCAAAAAATAAGATCCATCGGAGTAATCACAACACAGTTTGGGGAAATTATTTGGACTGCAGTTCCCAGAACACTGCACCTGGCTTGGCTACAGGCCCTTTGGCTTAGGGGTTCATGGAAGCACACCTCCAAAAATAATGTTTGCAGGCTCTGATTTAAGCATATACGAAAAGAATAGCAGGGGTCCTTTTTGAGGAGAGAGGAAATGAATGAATGAATGAATGAATGAATGAATGAATGAATGAATGAATGAATGAATGAATGAATGAATGAATACACACACACACACACACACACACACATACATACATGTCTTCCATTCAAACCCTCCCTCTGTTGTGGTGTCATCAGGCAAGTCTCTGATCGATCGGCTTCACCTTATTCCCTGTAACACTGCAACAGAGGCAATAAAGAGTATCAGGCATCATGTCAACAGTTATTCCCTGCAGACTCCTTGGGGCAGAGACTCTGGCTGAGCTCACAGAGCCTGTTTCACTGCTTGTGGAGTGGGGACTTACTTTCCCGAGACCCAGCCTCACCGGCACGCTCTGGGGTGTCCAAAGCTCGCTCCATAGGGTTTTCCAAACAGTTCTTAGGGGGCAGGGGTGAGGGCTGCAAGAGGACAAAGGTTGCTTTTTCGGATGGAAGCAGAAGCCAGCAGAAGTACAGAAGGTCTTTAGATCATTCCCCTGGCACAAAGACAACACCGTCCGAGCAGAACCGCTCAGGAAGGAGGCAGCGCCGGGGATCCGCAGTCTGCCATTCTTGCAATCATTTCTGACTTGTGCATGAGATTCTGGTCCCAGTGCATGGCTGCGATCATCCACAGCCACAGAACGCACCGTTTCCTCCAAAGTTAATGCTGGGGTGTTATTTTTCTGCACCAAGACGCATCATCTGCAAAACACATCCAGTGTGATCTTGGCTGCACAAAATACAGCAGTTCGCACACATTCCAGGCATGTGTAAAAGATGTGCTCTCAGAAAAATGTGCTTTCTAAGAAGAGACAGATGTTTATTTTATTTTAAATATTTTTACCCCACCTTCCTCCTTAAAAGGACCCAAGGTGGCTTACATCATTGAAAGGCAATATAACAGGGATTATCAGATGAAATGTGCACCTTTCTTTCAGTTTCATTTTGTCCGTGTTTGTATGGGGAGTCAGTTGCCTTTAATTCCGTGAGATTGTATTTTGGGGTGTATGGTTCTCAGAACATGTGTATATCTGGAGAGCTCAGGGGCTGAAGCATCTGGCTGCAGAACCAGAGGCTGGGAGTTCGATTCCCCCACTGGGCCTCCTTGACAGGGTTCATGATCCATTGGGTCCCTTCCAGCTCTGCAGTTCTAAGATGATGATTATATGGTGGGGGGGGAGAGGAGGGGGAGAAGCAAACCAGCTCCTTGGAGATGCAGTGAAGAGTTTTGCCATGTGGCTTCCATCAGCAGCCCGGTGGGAGTCAAGTCCCTGGTACAAAATGTTTTCCGCAGCAGCGGCAGCAACAGTGAGTCGAAAGCTTTCCCCAAATGAAGCCCCCTACACGTGGGAAGATCATTCCAGGACAAGAGGAAATCACAGCATCGTCGGCTTGCAAAAGAACACAGAGACGTTTGCCAAACCCTCCGGCCGTATAACTGGAACACTGGGGCGTGTGATGTTTCCAGTAAGTTGCATCGCACGGCCCAGCGTTCGCCCTCCAGTCAGTGATTTTATGCTACCCTGTTTCCCCGAAAATAAGACCTAACCTGAAAAGAAACCCTAGTAAGATTTTTCTGGATGCTCGTCATATAAGCCCTCCCCCCCCCAAAATAAGCCCCAGTTAAGGGAAACCCCGATCCATCTTTGTGCAGCAACCAGAAGAAGAGATGCATGACTGTATTGGAATAAATGTAGATTGTTGTACATGAAAAATAAATAAATAAAACATCCCCTGAAAATAACCCCTAATGTGATTTTTTTGTTTATTTGTTTTTTGCAGTGGGTGGAGCAAAAATTAATGTAAGACCCTGATTTTCAGGGAAACACAGTAAGCAGGTCCTGTTTCCTTCTGCCTCCAAAAGCCAAGCCAACTCCATGCTAAGTACTAAGAGGCAATAAAACCCTATGAAAGATGCTACAGTTGAGCAGCACTCAAGGACGGGATCTGACTGAAGCGTGGACAATCATCCTATTACACTCACTCACATTTTAGTGTGGTGAGATGTTTCAGATTTCGTGGTTCGATTTCGTGGTTCGATGGGATATTATTACAACAAGTATTGGTGGATCCACAAGCAGGATTCGCACCATAGCTGCATGGCCTAGTTGTTTGGAACATACATCTACTGCAGAATCTAGCTCAAAACACTTTCCCCATGAACAGGATGTGGTGTCTTCGTTTTTGGTAAGCAGGTGTGGGCTGGGTCTTTTCATAAGGGAACTTTCCATCTCATAGCTCTCCTTCTGACCTATTTCCTTAGCCACTGTACCTAGGCTTCAGCTATGGTTGCTGGCCTATTTACGTTGCACGCAGAGGGCTTGCATGCATGTGGCTAACTACATATACCTTAACTGTTTCTATGCAGCTGTGCAGATGTGTTTTTCTTTAATCAAGGGGCTTTCCAACTTAGCTGAGCGTGTCTTCTTTCTTGTTGAGAGCCTGAGAAAAATCATACTGGCTTAGGACGACCTTCCCCTTGGCCTAAGGTTGTGCCCACCAAGTACAGTATTTATTTCCTTCCACTAGAAGAGGTCTGGAGCTGGCATAGCTTGAGTCTCCCCTCGATGCACCCCTTCCTCCACACACACACCCATTTGGCTCTTCTGCCAGCAGATCTGAGCTGGTGTGGCCATTCTGCTGGCAGAGGTCTTGAGATCAGCCAGCGGAAGGAATGTCTCCCAGTGCAATTGTGTTCCTGCCAGCCCGGGGGGTGGGGGTGGTTGTTGGCAAATCTTTCCATTAGGATTGCACCACTTTGGTTGAAGTGCGAGCCTTCTCAATTTGTGGTTCTGTTCTGTGGTCATTTTAATGGACATGGTTAGGCAGTCATTTCCCGTGCCAGCAGCTTCCCCTGGAAAGAAGCCCAGCAATAACAACAGATAAGACAAAGATATTTGACTGTTCCCCTAATCCCTGAAATGATAGGATGCCATGCAGTGTGATTTGTATGTGTCACTTGAATTTTATTGACATACAATTACTATGTTCTTTGAGCTCATGTTGTACATCTGGGTATTAGAAAAAGCAAAGCAGTGACTCAATTAGAGAGAATACAAAAGAGCCCTTGGTTTGCAAAAACAGCAACTTGCTCTCTTTGTGGCTTTCCAGTGGTAATCTTGCAGGTGTGGCCCGTGGTATCCGGGTGGAGGATGTTCTCTACAAAAGGAACTGGATCTGGCCCCTTCCCTTGCAATACATGCTGGGAGCGCTGGGTACACCCTCTCATTTCATTTGAGTGAATACAACAGCATAAATCACTGCCACGATGATCAGCGTAATCACCCCAAGCACAATCCCGATAATGTTCAGCTTGCGAGCCGTGCGGGAAGCTTGGGACGCCCTGTTGAAATCTCCAGAGCAGTTGGCGTTGTCCACCTGCGGCGAAACAGAAGACAAGAGGGTCACCAAAGTGCTAAACACCAGGCTACAGCGGGCTGGAGATAGCCCTGTACCAAAGAACCTGGAAAAGGGAAGGGGAGAGAGACTGGCAGCCAAATGGACTCAGACACCTTCCTCTATCTTCTGTTGAGATGCGGATTGCTACTCTCAGGCGTCCTTCCATCCCTTTTCTTCTCCTGCATTTAGAACCCATGACCTTGGGAGGTGGTGAGCACTCCAACGCTGGAGGCATTCAAGAGAAATTTAGATTACCTGGCAGGTATCTTTTGATTTGTATTCCTGCCGTGATCAGTGGGTTGGGTTTGACGGTCTTAGAGGACCCTTCCAACTTCATGATTCTAGGATTCTATGAACCCCAGTGGGAAGCTCTGATCTAGGAAGAGTGCCTGTTTTGGATGACAGCTTCCAGAATCCCCTCCAGCCAGTGCCAGCAAGGGGATGATGGTGTGCATTATCATCCAAAATAGCCTCTTCTACAAAATCTGCCCCAAAGCTCAGTTGGACTACTACTCAAGCCCATAACGAAGGCCTCCTCCGTCACCTTAATTTTGGCACAGTCACAAACACGACCTTTTAGGTAGGTCCGGTCTTCACCCTCCCTGAGTATTGTGCCCTTGTGGGGTTAACAGCACCCTATTCCCCCTTTGGACCTCAAACTTGGACATCTGGGGCACCTCCTTAAGATGTCACAGGGATGACCCCTGCCAAGTCAAAGAGGCAAATCTCCTCGATGTCGCAAAGGCGAGGCCAGAAAGCAAGTTCAACGTACACCGAAACTACGTTTGCACTGAACGAGGGAGCCCCAGCATCAGCTGGGAGCCGATGGAGAGAGGGGGGCCCGGGGCTTCAAGGCCACTTCATGCACAAAAAACCCAAATATTTTTCTCCATTGCGGCACATCCTGCAATTTTTCTCCCCACTCAGAGATCAGACAGGCCTAGAAATTTCCAGCGACACTAAGGGATGCTCTGGTAATCCTGCTTGCTTCATCTCTCAACCCTCTCAACAGCTTCCCAGGACATAGAACAGACACCCCCATTCTGCCGTGCTAAAGGCTTCTCTCTGGCGTCTTCCCAGAACATTCCACTCTGGGAGCTTATCCTTCCCGCCCCTTGGAACGTGGGGCTTCCAAGAGGAGAGGCAACTGCTTCAGGTCAATCGCCGAAGTACGCGACCCAATGTCATGATCTATTATTCATTTATGAAATTTCTGTACCGCATCATCTGGTGGCATGCCGGCAGATCCACGCCAAGTCCTTTTAGAACCTGCTTGCTCAGACCAGAAAGGCTTCCTAAACCGCATTTCTCCGACACGAATGTTATTTTGAAACACCAGCTCATCCTGGTTTGATTCTGACTTTGCCTGAGCAGTCTTTCTCAGCAAAGCCTTCAGTTTCTAGGAGTTGAACCCGTGACCTTCCGCTTTTCACATTTCCAGCCTTCCAAGTTTCCCCAGAGTGGACGGGTGTGTCAAGAGAGAAATGGAGATGGGGAAATGAGCGGCTATTCTTCTGGGAAAAGGAAAGAGAGGAAAGGTCCCCCAGCGCCACCAGAGCCGCCTTGACGGTCATCCAATTCCCATAACCCTCCTTGGGGCTATACTGTATATTTTTAAGAAAATCTGGAGCACAGCCAGAAGTCAAAGGGAGTTCTACACCCTTCCCAGCACCTCCTTGTCTCCAGATTGGCTTCGAAAGGGTTGGAGAGAGGGCCTCTGCCAAGATTCCCTTGGGGGATGCCAGCCAGCAGCCACAGTGATGCACCTCCACCACGCCCATCTTGTGCCTCCTCTGAGCCACCTCCAGCTGGGGACACGGCAGGAAGGGGAAGAAGGGAGGGGGCTGCTGAACCAGATGGGGAGGAGAAGGCAACCCCCTCTGGAAAACCTTCACCCCTGATTCGGTCCTCCCCTACCCATCCGATCTGTTTTAAAAGAACCCAAAACACACCAATTGCATTATTTGCATGCAAAAAAGCACCTCGTGCCAGAGTTTCAACCAGCAATGTTGGCATCCAGGGTGACTCCCACCCCATTCACCTTGAGAAAAAAAGAGGAAGAAAATGTTTTCAAACGAAGGAAAGTCAATAGCACTGGGTGCGGTTGTCGTCAGCCGCAGATCCACCTCTAGGTTTTGGTGCCTCCTAAATGTTGGCGCCCTGGGATAAACCCCAGCTCGCCCTGCCGTCATTACAGCCCTGCCTGATATTTACCAGATCCTATAGGTTCTGGCATATTTTCTCACACCATAGATTCCTCCTGTGTCTCAAGGAACTGTCTGGGCTGCCCATTTTGGGGTGTGGGGTGGATTGGGATACAAAGGGTCTGTTGAGGTCAAGGGGTGGAGCAGTGTGCCATTTGGCATGTTCCTCCCATCCGATCAGCAAAGGACCCTCTGCAGCCCAATCAGCAGTCAATTCATCGCTTCCCCTGATCTTCTGTAGAGCGTCAGGGGATGTGAAATCATCATCATCATCATCATCATCATCATCACCATCATCATCATCACCACCACCATCATCATCACCATCATCATCATCATCATCATCATCATCATTGTACATTGCTTTTCTCTTCCCTCTGTCAGTGCTATTCCATGCCCTTCCCTCATTCACATCCATACACTCTCCGTTGGAATCTGTAGCCAGGATAGCCAGGCTGTTATCTCTTGGCTAAACAACAAGCATGGAAAAAAGAATGCATGCCCTACCACAGCACCAGAAAGGTGCATGGCAGCTCTTAAAGGGGAAGGATGGCTCTATCTAAGTAGAAATACATGCAGACACAATTTTGTTTTTTTTATCCAAACCATGCCTTCAGGGATTCATATATCATATCTATGTTTTGCACTTGATGGGCGCTGAGGTTCTAAGAACGTTTGGAAGGCTGACATCTGTTCAACCCTGATATCAGTCCTGAGGCAGAAGAAAAATGGAACCTTTTCCTGCCTTCTTTTTCAGCCTTCCCCATTAACTGTGATTCAAAGGCTGGCTTAGTCTACGTCCAGTCCGTGCCAAAAGCTGTAGATTTTTTTCCCTTCCCTGTCAAGTTGGAAACCACAAACGGAAATAAGAACTAAAGAGATAAGGGGAAGTATGTGGAATAACACGCACGGAAAGACATAGGGAGGGGTTTCCTTGAAACCTCAAACCTTTGGGTTTTCCTTGAAACCTCAAAACTTTTGAAAAGAAAAAACGTTTCCTTGAAACCTCAAACTTTTGGGTTTTCCTTGAAACCTCAAACTTTTGAAAAGAAAAAACGTTTATTTCCCGAAATAAGGGGAAGTCATTAATGTTTTTTAAAAGGAACGGGGGGGGGGAAGAGAAGTCCCATCCTCAGAGAGACAAAATATTTACTGTGCAATCAACAGATTATTGCAATATTCAAGTAGGATTAAAACACCAACTTAATACGCCACTAACATCATACCATAAGAAAAACACACCTATCCAAGTCCAATCTTTTTATATGCTTACTCTGGAATACATCCTAAAGCAAGAATTTTAAACAGGCTGTTCTAGTGGGTCTCCTCGACATTCAGGCTTTGAGTGCCATATACAGCCTGAACAGCAACATGGATACATAAGGGGAACATGTCAGGGGCTTGGTGAAACCGAGAGTGCACCCTTCAAAATGGCTCAGTGGTGTAGGTCTCTGGCTGTTGAGAGAATAGGAGTTCGATTCCCTGCTGTGCCTCCTCGGCAGGGGCTGAACTGGATGACCCACAGGGTCCCTTCTAGCCCCGCAGTTCTAACATTATAATAATAAGAAAAGGACAGTAAACTGTCCCTGTAAAAGTGTGACTGAAGCAGGAATTCCAACCGGGACAGCTTTTAAGGCAAGCTCAACTGGTGTGTCTTCCACACAACTATTGAAAGAGCAGGAACCTGTCTGCTTTCTTAAGGGGTCAGCCAACCTTGTGTAATCTCACGGTTTACAGAAATACAAAACAATAAGGAAAAACATGAGACCAGAGAGGAGAAGGGGAAGAGGTTTACCTATAAATCAGTCCAATAAAGAATAGAGAAATTCCATGGATCCAGAATAAGGATGGAATGGGGCAAAACAGATGAGAAGGGCAGCATCTACGAACTAGAGGGGCTGGTACAGAATTATAGGATCTACACTGCAACCTTGCGTTGCAGTCTTATTTCTAACAAAACCAATGCGGGTCAAGTCCCACAAACAATTGATGCAGACAAAGTGGAGGGAGGAGAGGGAACAAATACTTAAACTCTTCCATCAGTTCCGAAACTGATTCGCGTCCTTGATTTTTTTCTTTTCAAAGTCCCGTGAGTGGGCTGTCTGAAGTTCTCTCCTCCCTGATAGGTACCTCCAGACACTTTCCAACATGCTTCAAAACCCATCACGCCAGAGTGGACTTACTTGAGAAGAGTAGATCACAGCTGCGATGCCGAGAGGTAAGCAGCAGCAAAGCATGGTGAAGATGGAGAGTCCCAGGTAACTCGGGACGCTTCCCTGAGAAGATGGCATTTTTAAAGACCTCTTGATGACCTCCCAAGGACTCTGGGGAAGAGAGGACGGCCGGCGACACTGAGCTCGGGTCTGGCAACTCTTGGCGGAGGGAGAAGCCACCAGAGATGAAACCCCTCCACGTACCTTTCCCAGCCCAACACCCGAGGCAGCAGCTCAGAGCACTTTAAGAGATGTGCATGTGTACACCCACCCACATACCCAATCTGCATACTCAACGTAATGTTCAGGGAGGAAAACAGTGGGAGGGGTGGGAATCAGGGTGGGCGGGTGGTAGAGACCAACGCAGCCTTGAACAGGCCAGGAAAAAAAGAAAAAGGAAAACTGTTCTGTTCTTAGAAACAGAAGGGCAGCTTCATCAGGGCTACCCTGTCGTTCTTCTTCTTATGTGCAGTCAAGTTTCCCCCAACTTATGGCAACCCTATGAAGACTGGCCTTCAACAGCCCTCTTGTAAAGTCAATCCATCTCATAGCCCATCTTCCTCGCTTCCTGCTGCCTTCCATCATCCCCAGCATGATGGTCTTTTTCCAGAGAATCCTGCCTTTTAAGTGATATGCCCCAAAGTAGGACAGCCTCAATTTCATCATTTCCCTCCACCACCCCCAGAGATAATCCAGGCTTGATTTGATCGAGGGCTACCCGACTTTTCATCCTTTCAGCCAAAATGGGAGTTTCGGCAGGCGAGGTTTGCATGAGTCCTTCCTCTTGAAATCCCTGTTTTCTACGTAACCAAAAGCAGAGGAACCTCAACCCTCTTTCTCCACCATCCGTGATCCCACACCTTTCTCTGCTCCTCAAGGGCGGGCAGGGCGGTTGGACCATTTGAAACCAACTGTTAGGATGCTGGGCCAACAGAGCTCTGGGAGCCCATTAAGATAATTCTTAATCGCTAATATACATTATTCCAACAATAGTAAGCAGGATCCATCAGAGAAGAAAAAAAGCGCTAAATGGAAGAACTTCCTTTTCTGTTCTAAAGGCTCAATAACAAAGGTGGTCTCCAAGAGGTTTCTTTCTTTCCGGCCGTGCGCGGCTCAAATCACTTTTAAGACCCGCAATGTTTCGGAATGCCAACAAGCATTTTTAAGATGCACAGTATTCTCCAAAGGGTAAGGCAGAAAGCATCCGGATTCAGAAAGAGATTGTATACTTTGCTTTTATTTTAAAGTAACAGAGAACGTCTCTATTATTCGGGTATTATTGTGGTTTCCTCTCCTCTGATTTTGATCTCAAATACCAGTGGCAAGTTCCTCTTTTTTCCCCTAAGTCACAATAATCCTTCCTTAACACCCCCTCCCCACAGATCACTCTCCTACGGGCTCAGGGTCCCCTTAGAGGAACTTCATATGAAGTATCATTTGATATAAGGCTTACCGAGAGTTTAGTTTACTTATCAACACATCTATTGATTACATCAATGATATTTCATTCTTACAAAACTGCCTTTGTGAAATCATCCTCTTAGAACAGCAGAACGGGACGGGACCCAATGGGGTCATCCAGTCCAGCCCCTGTCAAAGAGGCCCAGTGGGGGAATTGAACTCGCACCCAGATGCTAAACCACTGGGCTATCCAGCATATTTTATTGTATTTTAAATGTTGTAAGCCCCCCCGAGAGACCTTTGGGTACTGTGGGCGGCAACTAAGTTAAGTAAATAAATCCTCATATATACATGAGGCTGTTTATACAATACCATTACATTAGTCACTAGCTGCAAACTTCATGAATAACACCATGAAAGTTGGACATTGAACTTCTGTATTTCTTAGACTTCAGCCCCAGAAATTCTCTCAACCAGAATTTTGGGGGCTTATATCTGTCAGAACGTTCCTGTGAGTTTCATGTGGTGATCACGTCATTACGCCTGGGGTTCTCAGTGGACGGTCTAAAACCTGCCCTAAATCTATTTTTGGATAGCTTATCCTATCATGCCATTTTCAGGTGGTGCAATGCACTTTCCCTCTTAATTTGCCATCTGCCAATGCAGAAGTAAACTTTAGGGGTGAAGGTAAGGAAGCCAACCATAACGCAGGTGGTCTATAAAGGTATCGCTTACTTTTGCATTTTAATACAGGTTGCTGTTCTTTGCATTTTTTTCATTTCACCATTGCATTGTAAGCTGTCAGAAATTCATTGCTTTTTCCTCGGATTGCTTTCGTATTGTGTCTTCATTTTGTGGATCTGATTCATCCGAGGATAGCCTCAGCTCATCTCTGGTTACACCTTTTGCCTGCTGGGGCAAATAAAGAACCTCATCTTCGCAGTCAAGAAATCAGAAGACGTCTCATACTCAGGAGGGCAGCAGTAAAGGAACCAAAAAAAATATCAAGTGTCAGGATCTGTCCCTGGAGACCAAGACCACCCATCATCAATCATCATGTATGGGTGTGGAAAATGACAGGAAAGAAAAACCTGATTTGTTTGAAATGTGGTGCCGGAGGAGAGCTTGGTGGATCCTCTGGACTGCCAGAAAGACAAACAAGGGGATCCTAGATCAAATCAAGCCTGAACTATCTCTAGAAGCAAAAATGATGAAATTGAGGCTGTCGTGCTTTGGGCACATCCTGAGAAGGCAGGATTCTCTGGAAAGGACAATAAGGCTAGGAAAGGTTGAAGGCAGCAGGGAAAGAGGAAGACCCAATACAAGACGGGCTGACTCCCTAAAGGAAGCCACAGGCTTGAGTTTGCAAGAGCTGAGTGGGAACTGTTGAGGACAAGATGATTTGGAGATGGCTCATGCGTAGGGTCGCTATAGGTCAGAGACGAATTGATGGCACAGAACACAGAACTGCAGAACAAGAGCTCAATTCTTCTGGGAAAGAGTCTCACACAGAGGAGCCAGTTGGTGACAGGCCATCAGAATTTTATTTTCCATCTGTGCTGCATTATTTCTCAGTGCCTCAAATAAGTTGTTTTCTTCTTTTCTTTTCCATGAGGGGCTTCTGGAAAAAAAAGAAAGAGTTGTTCTTTGCTCGAAGTTTCTGCTGGTTGGTAAAGGAGACATGTGGAACTGTTCTCCCGAACAAAGAAACAAGGGATGCAAACCATGTCCAGCGCCTGTTTGTTTTCAAGCCAAAGGTCTTCCAAAAGGGTCTAGTCTGGGCTGTTCTCTGGAAGCTCTGGCATGAGGGAGGGAGCCAGATTTTCCTTGCCTGGGCGTTCTGCAAGGACAAAAAGTTCTTCTCGTCTCCCCGGCCACTTGACCCTCTTGGACTGGCAGGCTGGGAGGACCTGACCCCAGGGCACCAGCTTTTTGGGGGGGCAGGCACTGAAACTTGGAAGCGAATCGACCCGATCTGGAAATTGCTGATCACTGGCAACGAGGTCTCCTGCCTCTATTAATGTTCCTTATACTTTTTAAAGATGAAACTGAAGGATGCCTAACAAACTTTTTAAAGCAGCCACTTCCTTTCCCTTTTTCGGGGAAGGGGTACCACCTTCTGCTCCTTTTCGCCGGGTACAGCGGCCTCATGCCAGTGTCTCTCAGCCTCGGGGAAGAGATAAGGTGCCATTTGACCCCATTGCCAACATTTTCTCGATTCTTGGTAGAACCTGAAACTGTCGTCAGCAGATAAATAAAATATGCCTCTTACGTTTCACAACCAAAACCAAATCTGGGTGTTCCCCGGGAGATAGACTTTGCTAGCTGTGCTCCTGCCTCTAGATAGGGGATTTTGAGTTGCAGTTTCATTTACAACCTTGGAGACTGTCTGTGGTTTGCATGACTAAGAGGGACTCTTTTGGGCTGAAGTGATTATATACCCTATGAGGAGAGAGGATATATCTATCTCAGGAGAGAAGCTGAGCTCTCTTTGAATGCAAAGCCTGGAAGAAAAGATTATACAGTATATTTGTGGTTTAGTCGTTAAGTCTTGTCCAACTCTTTGTGACCCCACGGACCAGAGCACGCCAGGCCATCCTGTCTTCCACTGCTTCCCGAAATTGGGTCAAATTCATGTCGGTTGCTTCGATGACACTGTCCACCCACCTAGTCCTCTGTCATCCCCTTCTCCTCTTGCCTTCACACTTTCCCAACATCAGGGTCTTTTCCAGTGAGTCTTCTCCTCTCATGAGATGGCCAAAGGACTGGAGCCTCAGCTTCAGGATCTGTCCTTCCAGGGAGCACTCAGGCTTGATTTCCTTCAAAATGAATAGGTTTGTTCTCCTTGCAGTCCAGGGGACTCTCAAGAGTCTCATCCAGCACCACAATTCAAAAGCATCAATTCTTTCGTGGTCAGCCTTCTTTACGGTCCAGCTCTCACTTCCATACATCGCTACGTTCTTTAATTCCTCCTCACTTTCTGTCATCAGAGTGGTATCATCTGCATATCAGAGGTTGTTGATATTTCTTCCAGCAATCTTAATTCCGGCTTGGGATTCCTCCAGTCCCGCCTTCCGCATGACGTATTCTGCATATAAGTTAAATAAGCATGGGGACAATATACAGCCTTGTCGTACTCCTTTCCCAGTTTTGAACCAATCAGTGTTTCCATATCCAGT